TCTCCGCCCCACACACACACACACACACACACACACACACACACACACACACACACACACACACACACCGAATATGCAGGCAGGCAGACTTTGTGTTTGTGTGTATGCCTGTAGGTGTAAGTAAAGGGGAAATGACAAACAACAGACATTATAAAAAATAAACATACTTGTTATTTCAGTTGGAGCACTTATTGTGAATATAGACCAACCGACAATTATGCTAAAACCAACATAATGATGTTGACAATTTGAGAAGTTGTTTTGAATATGAACAAAACAATCAAACTGTAAAAGTTGTGGTTTGAAATCATTCAAGTGCAGCAGGTGTGAGTCTTTTTAAACCCGTCTTTAAAAATCTAATTGGATGGTTCTCAATAAACAAGACAAATGATGATRTTATTGTTTGGAGCAGGAAACACATGTCTCTTTCCATGCATGTACTGTAGTGAATAAAATCCAACCCACTCCTGGCTGATGTCTTTGCATGATCACTGAAACACAGTGGGAGTTGTTTTTCTTATGTCATACTGTATCAGTCAAAACTATTGACAGCAACAAGCATTGACCTCTTGATATGTTGGAACTATTTGCTGATTTAGTCACAGTTGTGGTGCTTTCTGTGAGATCAGAAAACTCTTAATCTTGGCTTTTTTTTCTCTTCCCTGATCTAATTCTCATTCTGATTATTGGGCCTTTTACTCAATTCATTGTTCCCTATTTTCTTCACTTGCCCCAGGGTGGAAGCCATGCATCGCCGACACACCACGCTGAGGGAGAAGGGGCGTCGCCAGGCAGTGCGAGGTCCTGCTTATATGTTTAATGAGCGTGGCTCCCCACTCACTGCRGAGGAGGAACGGTTCCTGGATGCTGCCGAGTATGGGAACATTCCTGTGGTKCGCAAAATGTTGGAGGAGTCGAAAACTCTAAATTTCAATTGTGTGGACTACATGGGCCAGAATGCCTTGCAGCTGGCGGTGGGTAATGARCATTTAGAGGTGACTGAGCTGCTGCTTAAGAAGGATGGCTTGGCCAGGATTGGGGATGGCCTCCTTCTGGCTATCTCTAAAGGTTACGTTCGAATTGTCGAAGCCATTCTCGCCCATCCCGCTTTTGGTGGAGGTCTCCGGCTGGCTTTGAGCCCCCTGGAGCAGGAGATGCGAGACGATGTCTTCTATGCATACGATGAAGATGGGACGCGCTTTTCACATGACATCACTCCCATCATCCTGGCAGCTCATTGCCAGGAGTACGAGATCGTTCACATCCTCCTGACGAAGGGGGCTCGCATCGAGAGGCCTCACGACTACTTCTGTAAGTGTTCGGAATGTGTGGAGAAACAGAAGAAAGACTCGTTCAGCCACTCGCGCTCCAGGATGAACGCCTATAAGGGCCTGGCCAGTGCAGCTTACCTGTCGCTCAGCAGTGAGGACCCCGTTCTCACTGCCCTTGAGCTTAGCAATGAACTGGCAAGACTGGCCAACATCGAGACAGAGTTTAAGGTAAGTTGTTTCTCTTCACATCTTCATCTGTGCCTCACTTGTTGACAGAGGGATGCTCCTTAGGAAATAAAACACGTTTAGTTTGTAATTATAAAATGAAAACTGGCATACCACATAATTAATCTATTATTCTCCTTAAATGTGTCCTGACTATTGATGGAGTTAAAAGGCAATTTATAAAACATAAATACAGTTCTTTCAGGACATAAAAGGAAACATATTTGCATTTGTTTGTGTAATGTGCTGTTTAACATTTTACTGTCACTGTCATTTTCATGACCACTAAGAGTCATTAAAATTACACAATTAGAAAGTTATGTTTATAGAACACTCTCAAAACAAAATAAAGCTTRTGGGCCCTTTACCATACATTTTGCTTTCTTCTAACATTTATTGTGCACTTGTTATCACTCAGTGACAGCAGGTTAAAGGAAACAGTGTTTGTCATGGATTATGCACTTAGTCCTGAGGTTGACCATTTATTATTATTATTATTATTATTATTACTATTATTATTGTTGTTGTTGTTGTTGTTGTTGTTGTTGTTGTTGTTGTTGTTGTTATTTTGCATTCCTGCCAGTCAGGTGCTTCTTATGTTACTAAATTGTCACAAATTATTTTTTAAACATGTTGGAAAATAGATTAAGAGACTTTGTTATACTTGCTATACTTATGTTTTCTTTTTTTTTTCAATGCACTCTGCAAGACTGCAGCAACTGTTAAATCTTTGGTTAAGGTGTGCCACACGAGTTCCAGTAGAAACATTATCCAAACGTTGATGAAAAATGTCAAATTCCAAATATGGTGAATCAGGAAGTTCAGAAAGAAATCCTCAAAAATTGGACCCCCCTCAAAAAAAAAAAAAAAAAAAAAACATATTTCCTTGGGTTTTGTGTTTATTTGTTTCTTTCATCACATCATTAATTTCCTAGTTGATTCCCTTAATAATAACGTGCCAGAATAGCACTGAAGTACAATTTTTGAACATGCATCTTATTACCATTGGCAAAAGCATTCATTAGCAAATTAAAGTTAAGAACATAAAATATGAACAGACATTTTATAAATGAAATGATATCTGCTGATTTGCAGGCATCTAACCAATTATCTGAGCCAATATCTGATCTCAGATTTTGTATCTTCTATGGTATTTTCAATCATTTTCTGAAGTGTGTTTATATTCAGAGTTGTAGTAAATTCTGAATGTAATTCTGAGAGGAAAAAAGTTTTAGATCCATCTTTTTCAGTGCTACAACCCATTCCTGCCAATGATGGAAGTTAATCATTGGGCTCTCATCTTTAATGGATTTCCCTGTGCACCACTATCTTTTTATTACTCCTTAGAACTACTTGTTTTCAATCCAATCCCCTCTTAGGTGGAATAAAAATTGTGAAATGCACTTTATCGTCTGATGAAAATATTAAACAYTCATGACTGTCTGACAGTGTATGTGGTTGTGCAAGGTATTATCTGTGTTAGGGAGGGTTGGTTCATGTTTTAAAACATAAAAATGATCTTGAATTAACTTATGAAAAAGTTTAGATGGTGTTAAAAAGAGAAAAGAAAAAACAATGAATAAAGTGTGCTCTTGAATCAGGTTGATCTGTGTGAGCTGACTCATGTAGCCCACTGTTTAGTGGGTTGGAATTCAASAGATTCCATCTTACTCTCCCTGATACTTTAACATGTGATGTTATTTGACCCAAATCAGCCTGGTTTTAAAATAAAGACYTCCTGAAAAATACACTTAAGAAAAAAATGATGAAATACTTGCTAAAACACATCCATTTGATGATTTGAAGGTATTAATAATAGGAGTACAATATGTTGATCCACATCAATTTATCAATTAAATGTTTATTTATTCAAATACGTCAAGGCAAAATGAAAACATTGACCCATWTTGTCATTGAATGCCCATCTAACACAATGATTGTGGTACATGGGCATATGATATTGCATCATATCAATTGCAGACCAGTGAATTTAACTGAATAAAAATCATGTAATAAGAGATTTGTGATATTGGGAAAACATTGTATTGTCATCAATATACACTGCTTGGCCAAAAAATAATTTAAAAAAATTCAGCACCGAAACCAATAAAAAGGTCACTCAAATTTTTTGTTGGACCACCTTTAGCTTTGATTACAGCTTGCAATAGCTGTGGCATTGTTTTGATGAACTTCTGCAATTTCACAAGTTTTCACAAGTTTTATTTCACAAGTTTTATTTCCATCCAGTGTTGCATTATTTTTTTTTTTACCAAGATCTTCCATTGATGATGGTAGAGTCTGACTGCTGCGTAAAGCCTTCTCCAGCACATCCCAAAAATTCTCAATGGACTCTATGGAGCCAATCCATGTATGAAAATGATGTCTCATGCCCCCTGAACSACTCATTCAAAATTCCAGCCCGATGAATCCTGGCATTGTCATCTTGGAATATGCCCGGCAACTCTAAATTGGCCTGAGTCTGAAATTGAATGGCTGTTTGTTTGTATCCATGTGGCTCTGAGATAGACAGCCAAGGTTGTACCTTGTACTCTTACTGTACCTCTTGTCCAAAGGCTGCTGAAGACATCACCACAACCTCTCTGTACCTCTTGAGTCAAGGGTTTCAATCAGTCCCATTCGTAAAAGTTGTCTTTGTCTTTACCCGTTAAATGGCACATTTCATCTGCCACATTTGAGCAGCAATATTCCAAACTACATATAAAAGTTGAAATCCAAACTATATAAGGCTGTGATTTAGAAAAGGAAAAGTAATCAAAATATATATCAACAGTTTGATTCCACCACAACATTATTATTGTTGTACTTGTTCCATCTCCCTGCTTACTTGGTCGCCTTTGTTCACCTATGTGTTGCTTTTCCCTCCAACACTCTTATTAATTTATGTCTTTGCTCACTCGGCTGTCCTCTCCGCTTACTGYCCACCTTTGTGTTTGATATGCAGCCTTTCCGCTTGTCATTCTGCTTCCCATCTTCCAACAAATTAATGAGAAGGGCTCACCTGAGGGACCAGGGTTGTGTTAGAACTTATCTGTCTCATTACCATCTCATTACCATCCCCATGTCCGCTCTCTTTATTTATCTCCCTGTCTCTCTTCACATTATCTACTCATTACTTTAAAACATCAAATAGTGTTTACCCAGCRTGCCAACAGCATTAGTCAATCAGGTTTACATAGGGAAATAAACATGACCAATCAAAGTTTCTAAATGTTAAAATTAAAAACAATATTGAACACTCCTTTGTGGAGCTTTAGTGTCAACAAAGCACCTGTGCAGGATATAAAGTCTTTAGCATGGTAATTATTCATGCCAACTAGGGTTTATTCCTAAAGCTGAGTTATTGGTGCTGGTGATTATAAAATTGGCAACTCACAAAGAGAATGAAACATGGGTGTGCAAACAAAACCAGTGTAATATAAAATCAAAGATGATTGAGATTGTGCAAGTCTAGTTTTTTTAACTAAATAAAATTACCACAACACTTGGTATCTTCACCATTTTAAACATTTCATTTAACTCCAAGCAAAACTGTGTAAAAGTTAGTTTGAGATAATTTGTACAAGGAGGTAAATAGACCCATCTGTCCATATATTATATGTATTTACTTGCTTCTTTATTTCAGGGTCACAGGGTTCACTGGTTCCCATGTCCAATAGTCACTGTGTGAGGGGTGGGGCTCATCCATGACAGGTTGCAAGTCCAACACAGAGCCACATGAAACAAACCATTCACATACTCACCAATAGCGAAGGACAATTTAGACTTACCATTTAGCCTAACATTCATGGTTTTGGTCTGTGGGAGGAAACTGGAGCACCTGGAGAAAACCCCCACATGGATAGAGAGAACATGCAAACTCTACCCAGAATGGACTTGATCCAGCAACTTTCTTTCTGAAAGGCAACAGCTCTACCAACTGCACCACTGGGAAGTTAAATAGATGCCATTAATTAAAATCACCTGTTGATTTTCAAATTGTAGCTATTATCATTGCTACAATTTGAAAATCAAATCAAATAAACATTTATTGGCAACAACACCTCAAAAGACTTTGAATGTTTTCTTTTTTCTGAATGTTAAGTTTAAAATAGCAAAAATAGTCCTTCAGTTTTTCTGACTTATATACAAACAATGGGCCTCATGCAAGAACATGTTCGTATTCTTACGAAAGGTTCGTACGAACATATCACTTCAGATTCAACAAACTCTTTTATCTTCAGGAAAAGTGTGTAAATGAGCTGCGTAAACATGATGAATGCATATCAGGTGCTTGTGCACGAGGAGAGGTGATTTACAAGATCACCACCCCAAAAATCACYATATAAGGATATACGTTTCCTGCCACACATACCAGAAGTGTCCATTCATAAATGACATTGCAAAGTAAAAAAGAAGAACTTTACGAGTTCGGAGATTGAAATTCTGCACTCGGAGATCCAGAAAAAAAGTCAGTTTTTAGCAGAGGAATGAAATGACGACTGCTGTTAATATCGTGTCTCCTGTCACAGAAATAAAAATCTAAATCATATTTAACTCTCTCTGCAGTCCTGCTCTGTTTTTTCTTTGGTCAAATATTGTAAACAACTGTGTTACATAGGTTTCATTTATTCAGAGGGTCAGTCGCGCACCACTGCCCCCCACCCCCACCACCATCAC